CACCCCATTTTATAGTAGAAAAATAGGCTCCAACGGACCAAAGTATTTAAGGGGTGATTGGCATAATTTGTGGGATTTGATTAAAATTGGATCTGCTGAAATTCACCCAGACAGCGCTGTCCTAGGCTTGGACATCGCTGTTCTAGGCTTGATTTTTAAAAATTGGGAAGCAACGGTCATGCCAACAGCGATGTCCAAAACCCCTACATCGCTGTTTTGGCTGTTGACTTCCAAACAAGGAAAGTTTTAGCCTTAAATTCCTTCCAACGGTCAGGTCTCTACATCGATGTTCTATACTAGAACATCGCTGTTTAGGTCTGCCTTTGGAGATGGAAGTTTGGCCTGAGAGCGCTGTTGCAAGGTCAACATCGCTGTCCAAAAACTTTCTGCCAAAGCACTAAATTTTTGGCTTAGGTTGGACAGCGCTATAGGGAAGCCTACATCGCTGTTCCAGAAGTTTCTGGAAATCCAACCTTGGCTCAACAGCGATGTCTAGTGACCAACATCGCTGTTGGAAGACTTAACGCCAAACCATGTTTTTAGCTACCTAGTCCAGACAGCGCTGTTGATTACCTCAACATCGCTGTTGGGCTGGTTTGGCCAGACCCATGGTTGGTTTAGTCACGCCGTTAGCCGATGTCAAAAATGCAAGTTCTCCAAAATAAAAACCAAGTTTAGAAAACATTTTTTATTGCATTTTGCTAAGAGAACAAGTAAAACATCTTGAAAACCACGTCATTTAGTTGAAAACCATGGCTAACCAAGTGTTTTGACCCAAGTTTAAACTTAAGAAAAATATTTTTGAACATGTAAAAGAGAGTTTTATGAGTTGAGCCTAGAGAGCCAAGATTTGGAATTTTGTGCCGGTCTTGATCACATTAAGACCGACTCAATACAATTTTAGTTCTTCGTTCTTGATTCTGGGTTCTTGGTTCTCAAGTCATCATGCCATGTTCCTTCGCCTTAGTTTTGCTCACTTTAGCTTCGATATGTCGCGGCGGTTTGGCATTATCAAAACCTGTCATAAAAACCGAACACAGTTTAGTACGACGTAAGGCGTAAACCCGTGTTCCAACACCCTTCACGGTAGGGTCAGTGCCGTCCGGTACCTAGGTACCGTGACCCACGGTATAGCCTACCGTTTGGGGGTACCGTGTATGCCTAAAGTTTGGTTCGCCTCTGGCGGTACCTAGTTAGGACGGGGGTAACCATCCGTCTCAGCCTTCCGTCCGGTACCTAGGTACCGTTACACGGTAGGGGGTACCGTGTACCTCTTTAGTGAAACGTGCTACGGTACGTTCACTTGGCTACCGGCGGTATCCTGGTGCCGTGTACACGGATAAAAGATAAAAGATAATTTTTATTTATTGAAGATGGGAAATAGCGCAGTACAATGGAAGCATTGAGAGACATGATAATTAAAACAAAAGAGATAGAAATTCTAGGGGCGGCCTAGTCTTCGTCTTCGGTTTCCTCCTTGTCGTCGTCGACGTCCATCTCATCACCGTCAACGGCGTCGTCGAACTCATCCTCGTCCGGGGAGCTTGACAGGGCGTAGGAGCCATCCTCTTCGTCCTCGTCACCGTACACTTGCAAGGTTGGCCCGGGCCTGGGCTTGGCGTTGAACAGCCTCGTCGAGCCGCTCAAGGTAGCCATCCATCCCGTCAACTTTGAAGTGAAGCCGGTTGAGGGAGTCGGCGATGGAGGCAAGGTTGGCCCGGGCCTGGGCTTCGGCTGGGCCAGCAGCAGAACGGCGCCGTTGCACGGCAGTGGCAGGTCCGGCGTTGTCCGACCGCTTCTTGAAGGTTTGGGTGCTGACCGCCCAAATCTTCGTGGCCTTTGTGAGTGGGCCAACGGTGGTGGTCACCTTGAACCGTTCAAGGATGTCCATCACCACGAACGGGTACGGGAGGAGGTGGTCGTGGTCGGTGGACGCGGCAATCGTCATGTTGATCATGACAAACTTTGCCCAATTGATTGGGGCCGAGTGCATGATCGCATGGATGAGCTTGAGATCTTCACCGGACATGATGGTGTGGCCGTGCTTCCTGGGTTTGATGATCCGGGAGACGATGTAGAGAAGAAGACGGCCATCGGGGTTAGCGGAGTGGATGGTGGGGC